TCCTAAATGATATGTTCCCACTGCTTGAGGGTAATCCCTACCTTGGAGAAGAACAGGATCAATAAAATCCTTATTAAGTTTCTCTTACAGAACATCTAGAGGACTGACTATGAATGATGACATAATGGCTCTCACTGGATATAGACCTCATGACACCATATGTAAAGCCTATGCTCCCTTGGCCCTTTATCCCATTCTTGGAATCCTTAGAAGACACAAATCCTAAGCCCTTAAGCACACCTTCTCTGAGGCTGCCAGCACTCCTGAAGTGTCTACTTTGCCCTAAATAAAGCCTTTTTGCTGCTCAACTTACTGTGTTTTGTCTCTGTGCTCTTCCAATCTTCTCAAGTTAATAAGAGAACCCTTTTCCAGTGCTAAGTGTCTTTGTTACTTTTATATATCATTACATTTTCTAGACTTAAGCACAAGTCTTCACTCTCTGTGCTCTACTTCAGACAAGCAGGGAAGGGCTAGTAAGATCTCTTATCTGGACTTACAAGTTGCCTTGGTGACCCATAGGGACTAAAGCTGTACGATCATGCTTTTACTAGTTTGCCTGAAAATCATCTTTCTTTGTTTTGGAGAAGTTCTCAGAACATAATCTCAGTCCCTCCAGTATTCTGCAGTTCCCCCAAATCCTGGGGTGGTAGGGGCTTAGTACCCATGTCATGCAGATTGAAGTAGACACTGGACGCCAGGTGACCCTGGCTTCAGGAGTTGACAAGGGATTTGACCTATGCTGAGCGGGGAGTTCAATGAACTTTCCTCCCTCCCTCTGTTCTTCCTTGCTCTTTGCTCCTAGCAAGGCTGCAGCCACTTACTACTACTCTTGCTTTAATGAATTCCTTTCTTACCTACACTTGTATGACTTGTTCGTGAATTTTTTTCTCGATCAGAGTGAAGAACTCTCTCCTAGGTCAAGCTCTCACCAAGAATGCAGGGAGAACTCTATGAATTGGATTGCCCAACAACAAGATCAATTTCCTTCAGCCTAAAGAATGACATTGTGAATCTGCTGGTGACAAATACTCTATTTTGTTTGAAAGTTTCTTAATTTCAACTTCATTCTTAAAAGATTTGTTTTTAGTCCTTTAAAGTTATCATTCTGTCATTTTCTTGGATTCAGATAATTTGTGAAACAGTCAGTTATAAGTCTAATTATTGTTTCTTTAAAAGTCAACTTTTATTTTCTTTACTTGCTCTTAGGATTTTTCTGTCTTTGGATTTCAGCAGTTTTTCCATGATGTGTCTATATGTCAATTGAGTACATTAAAAAAAATTTTTTTTTATCCTGCTGGGGATTCATTAGTCCAAATGGTATTTTTGCCCAATATTGTTTTTCTTCTAGAATTCCATTCAAGTGCTTATTGAACGTTATCATTTACCTTCTATATGCTTTCCCTGCATTCTGTATTTTTCATCCCTTTTCTTCCTTATGCTTCTTTCAGCACAGTTCTTCTCACTTACCTTCTAGTTCACTAGTTTTACTTTTATCTTTCTTTATCTACCCATCAAGTTATTTCTAATCAGTCAATTTTTTGGTTCCAAAATTTTCATCTGATTCTTTTTTCAGGTTCCTAGTCATCTGCCTAAATTTTTAATGCCATATTTTATTGATTTATACATAGTAAAATTAAATAAAAACAATTTATTTATTTTTAAATCTGTCTGGTAATTTTACTATCTGAATCCCTTCTGAGTCTCTTTTATGGTTCTGTTATTCCTGACTCATGTGACTATTTTTATTGTGTACTCAACATTGTATTTACAAAAGGATTTTAGTTTGCTTCTGCCAAGGGGGTGGGAGCATTTGCTTACAAGAATTACCTTAATCCAATCTCAAGGTTAGGATGATTTGAAACTGAGATATATTGCCCCTTTACTTCTAGGATACAGCCATTTGAATTCTCCATCCAAGCAAGGGGACTTCCACAGAGTTCTCCTCCATTCCCCCTACAACACCCAGAACTCTAATTGCTTATCCCTATCCCTGATCATCTCTCAACAATCCTCTACCGAGTGGATAAATGGACTTGCATGGGTCTCCATTATTCTTCAGATCATGGCCTGATAATTCCTATTTTATTAGTTCTCTGGTGCCTCTGCGCTGGTATTTTAAAATTTTCTAGTGCCCTGAGTAGGAGTGATCCAAATTACTGCCAATACCAGGGCTTACAGAAATGTAGGTGTTATTAAATACAGATAGTTGCTCTTAGGAAGTGCATTGGAAAAAAATCCTTAAGGAAAAAAAATTAGGCTTTCATTCACAATTCTAATTGTTAGCCCAAGTGGCAAACCAGTACTTAGGAATGTTGTATCCTAGTCTTCATATCATATAGTTTGAGGAAAGTTATTTCTGTTATTGACAAATATTATTTAACATCACCTCTGTCCCAAAAGCTGTTCTAAGAAATTATACCAAAAGGTTGAAAAAGACATGGTCATTGAGCTCAAGGGATTTTAGCTTAGATTCCTTTTTGTTAAACTGGTAATTTTTAGATTCCTCAATTTGTGATCAAAAGTCTTTTGTTAAATATATATAACACAATGATAAACACATTTAAAATACAAACTTATGTATTTGGGTTCCTATCACTTTTCAGCCTAAACATGCAGGCATTTTAAAGATTTGTCTTCCAGTAAAGTTTATTATTGAATATGTTAACGTATTTTGGAGAAAGAAGAATATAAGCTTCACAACTGACCTTAAATTCCAGAATCCTCTTTTTCCCAAAGAGTTGAGCTCTGGTTTACTAGCCTTTTTTCTCATGTAACTTCCTGGGGAAAGCTACTCACTCTGAGTCATCATTACTTTTAATCAGAGCTTTTCCATGTTCAAAGTCCTTTAAAATAGCTTCTAGGTATACAAGCGTCCCTCTACTCTAAGGTACTCCAAGTGTGACTGATTTTCTAAGAGATGTGAGATTATATTACCCAGCAGAAATTATTTAAACATGCTCCTCTCCAGACTGAATCAGTCAGTGGGGAAAACCAGTGGATGAGATGCAGTAGATTCATTATTTGACTTTGGACAAGTTACATACTTTTTGGGTTAGTTTTTGCATCAATGATAGACTGAGCTCCTATATGATATTTCTAAGTATACATAACTTCCATCTTTCAAATTCTATGATTCTTCTAGAGTTGAGGAAGACTGGCCACCTAAGTTTAAAATAGACTAGAAGGAAAAACAGAAACTAAAGTTCAACATATCAAGTAAGATAATAATATACTAATTTGTAAGGAGATGAAGACCTACCTATATTATGTTAGTGGCCACCATGATGATGGCCAGCAGAGATATAAAACAGGATTAAGGTCTGAGGAGGCTGTGGCTCTTCAGAAGTCACTTTCTCTCAATCTTCCCCTCCTCTCCTCAGTTCCCTTTCTACTACACTGTTCCTTTAGGAACTTCCTTCAGTTTATCCACATGTGGGGGCAACAGTCATTGCTCTGAAGGGAGAAAATGAAGCAACCCTTGCTTCAGTTGAAGCACACTGAATATATCTGCCTTCTGATCTCTTACTCTGAATGTAAGCAATGAGGCCCTTAAGGACAGTGTAATGAAAAACAAATGTAACTAGTAGATGACCTTGGACAAATCATATAAACATAGCATTTTCATGTGTGGAAGGAGGGTCAAACACTTTCATTTTTGTTTTTACATATTCTGATATCTATAATTCTGTATCTCATAATCCCCACAGCTTGATTTGTTTTATTGTCAGTAGGCAGCTTTTTTCATTCTCATCTCACTTTATATTCAGAGCCTGGCACATAGTGAATATCCCTGTTAACATTCATTGTTCAGAAAGGAAATGAACTTCACTTAGTACCTACTATGCATCAGTCACTGTCCAGGTGTCTTTCATATACCCTTTCTTTTAATCCAATCAACACATTTGTGAGATAGGTATCCCCACTCTAGGTTTTTAATATGTGGACATAGATATTCAGAGATTTAATTATCAGGATCAGAATGATAGTAAAATGGAGCCTTAGTTCTGCCACTCACTTTATATTTGACAGGTCATTTTTCTAAGCCTCGGTTTCCTTATCTGTAAAGTAGGAATTCGTGAGAGTTAGGACAGGGTTGGCAGATTTAGCAAAAACAAAACAAAACAAGCCAGGAAACATACGTCAAAATGGTACATCCTTACATTAAAAAATTATTTTGTTTATCTGACATCGAGATTTAAGTGAATAAAATACTGTATTTTATCTGGTAACGTTATCTTAGCATTATAGTTATGACAACGTATGTGAAGAATTTAGCCCAGGCCCTAGCACTTAGTGAGTGCTCAGTAAATGCTATGCTTATTAAATTTTGCATGTAACTCCAAAGTCCTCTTTTTTTTCACCACAGATACGCTGAGCTCCGTTTTCACATTAAATTTCAGTCAAGAGAAGGTAATACATCTTTAAGTTTATATTAATGCTTTACCGTTCCTAAAGTGCTTTCAAAAGCCTGGCCAATGGCGGAAAGCTCTTAGGGAAACCCACAGGCACTCAGGCTGTCGGGTCCATAGCTGCAGTCCCAGCGCAGGCACCGCGGGCCGTCCGACTCCGGCGGTCACCCTCCCCCGGCACCCGCCATGCCCGCGCCGCGCCATCTCCGCCAGTCAGCGGCCGCGCCGCACCCCGCCGCTCTCCTATAGGTCCTTCCCGGGACAGGCGAGGCCTTCCATTTTCCCGCCTTCCGCAGCCCGTCCTCAGACCAAAACCCGCACCGGCCCACACGTTCTCTGCCCTGCCTTCCGTGCGAGCCCCGCCCTGCCGAACGCGGATTCCCCTCAGCCCCAGCTTTCCTCCCTCACCCGCCGTTCTGGGCAACCCGCCGGCCCTGGGCGGGTCCTTCGGTTAAGGTGGGAGGGGACAAGGAGGGGCCAGCCGAGTCCTCCTCCGGAAGGGTCGCGAGGGGCGGGGTTAATCTCCTTGGCGCCGCGTTGTCATGGCATCGGGGGGAGGCGGAGGGAGGAGGAGGAGGAAGCGAAGCGGGAGGGGGATGTGGTGTTGCCGCGACCGCCACCGCAGCTGCCACTGCCTGCTCTTTGCCGCGTCTTCCCGGAGGCGGCTGCTGGAAGCAGCCGGGAGCAGCTGCGGTGCTCTGCCATATTGTGTCTTTCCCCTGCCGACCCTTGCCTCTCCGCTGCGGCAACCGAGCTGACGGTGAGTCCCGGCCCGGCGTCGCCCGACGTCCGCGCTCCCCGCCCGGGCCCGCGGCACCGCTTCCAGGCGCAGAGGCAGCGCGTGCGGCCGGCGCTGGGCGTGGGGCGCGGAGGCGCCTGTCCCGTGACACGCCCGGACATTTCTGTCCAGTGAGGAATTGGCGCTTTTGAGGGGGGTCTTCCCTGTCTGCGCTTTGGGTCGTGTGTGGGCTCCCGGGGGGTGTCGAACTGGGGAGTGCGGCCCCGTGAGAAGTTAGAGTTTTCTGAGAGGCAGTGACTGCCCGGGAGCGGGTGTCGCGCGGCGGAAACCTGTGCGAGGGGTGCCGGCTCTCCGGGAAGGCTTGGAGGTGTTCCCGAGGACTCTTAGGGCTTGACTCAGGGCGAATCCACTGTTGGGGGGAAGTGCCCCAAGCCTCTCGGGAATATGTGCAGCGCCCCCAGCCCGGGCTTGAAGTGGAGCGAAGCGTACGAGGCGTGGAGTCCTTGTCGGACCCCAGGCGGACTGGCTGGGCCTGGCCGAATGGTGCCCGAGGGAGCGCGGGGCGCTGCCAAGCGCAAAACTACACTTCGAGCAGCGGAGCGGCAGGGCGTTGGGGTGGACAGGGGCGAGTCCCGGATGTGGGGGTGACGGACCGCGGTACCCTCCGCCCCTCCTCCGGTGTGCCCCCTGGGTGCCTCCGAGAGTGGCTGTCTTGGTGTGGTGGGAGTTAGAGTTTCAGCGCTCCAATATGTACACTTCCTGTTCGCCGCCTCCCTTGGGCCACCGATTACTGCCCTTAAGTCCTTTCTCCTGGGAAGGTGAGAGGTCGTAAGGCGTTGTGCGAGGCCTTTCAGCCTTTTGAGTTCGCCCCACCGCAGCAGCAACGAGTCTGGAATCCAGGAGGACGGTGGGAATCGGGAAAGACGCCCATGTGCGTAGTGTTGCGTCCTCCACTCTTCCTCAACTCCAGCCCTTTTACCCCTCTGCAAAACGCCTCTACACCCACCGCAACTCCTGGGAGTTAGGGTTGCTAATTCATTGGGGCACACTTTCGGGATCTTATTGGACCTGACTTCTGCTTTAAAGTCTCATTAAAGCAGTCCCCGTACTTCGTTTTCTCCTAACAGGAAAAAAGTCTTAGCATGCAAAGAAATGACACAGCCTTTATTCTGCCCAAACTCCTAGGTGGGGGGAGGAGGGCAATATTTATTTCCAGTTTAGTTTACATTGTTTCTCCTGTCTTCCTTTTGATTGTGACAGCCACGTGGCTGGCTGAATGTGAAAGAGTGCCCTAGCGCCACTAGGTCTGAGGCAGGGGCTTTGTAACTATGCTGTAGCTTTGCATCCACATTTATTTTGGTGTTTTCTGAGATGGGGAAGCGGGAAAAGCTGAACTATTCAAGTATGTCTCGACCCTAGTCGTAAGATTTATCTCTTATTTTCTTGCAGTCCTTGTAAGGTATATATTGACGTTTTTGCCTTTCTCTGCCTTTTTGATGATTCATCTTTAAAATCTCAGCAGTATTAGGTATTATTCAGGAGTGGTGGGGAATAGAATAGTACATTATGGAGTTTCCCAACTCTGGGGAAAAATCGTTAGAATTTCAAACCGTTAATGACAAGTTCTAATGTAATAAAAATGATCATATTCTGAATAATTTTTTTGATAGTTTTATAAAAATACCAATTTTTTTTCTTACTACATAAAAAATGTGACCTGAAAAGATATATATATATTGCTGGTGAAAAATACTTGTTAAAGGATGAAATACTTGGTTGATTTGTGTGTGTGCACTCTCTCAAGCTTTTTTTAAAAAAAATATTAACAGTTAATATAAATGTTAACATGAGCAGATTTTATTTTAAGGAAATGAAATCTAATTTTTAGAATATGTAAAAGTGAAAGGTCATAGGGTTAAAGAAAAAATCCAAACTTTTGGGGAATTTGGAAATTTTATAATTTAAGCCCAATTCCTGGTTACCAATGCATCATGTTTCATTTTGTGAATGCTTTGGTGGATTTGAATGATTTATGTAACACATATTTTTATTTTATTTGAATTTTAATTATGCCATAACAGTGCTTCTCTCAATCAGTAAAGTTAATAGATAAAAAGATTGGAGAGGCTTCAGTGCAGAAAAGATAATGGGATTGAGAAATAGGTATGTGTGCTGACCACTGAGAGTAATACTTACTTGAGAAAGAAAAGTAAATAAGGTGATGAAACACTTATATAAAGCAGGAAGAACTGCAAACATATGCTGGAGGACAACTACATTATTAGTTAAAAGATCCGACTATCAAATGAAATTTTAAAAAGTGCTCTCCAAACAGGGCTTAATCTTGTCCTTACAGCAGCTTTTTTCTTAGCTATTCTATGTATGAGCTTGTGTTGCTTTTAGATTGTTATCTTAATAACTGGGTTTTGCTTAGCAAAAAGGTCCTCCAGAAATAAAGTTTTGAGGACCCAATGTTTTGCTGATTTCTTAGGGAAGAAAAAGAGGTCTAAGATTTTATCTCTTCTCAAGTTGAAGAGACTAAATTAACATATATGAAAATAAGAGTTTACAACATGAGAAGATATATCTAGGAGTTAAATTATATGATGCAGGCAGGTGCTGTGAAGAGTTATGAGGAGAAAAAAACTAGAGGGTTTGAGTAGATAGGAGAGGCTTCTTGAAGAAATAAGACTCTTGCTTTCTAAAATCTAACCTTCATGTTTCTCCTATTAGATTAATCTTCTGGAAGTTTATATTACTCTAGGGACCAAAACTTCGTGTATCAAGCATAAATATTTCTTCTCCAGACTTTCTGAACTTTGGTCCCCGTCTTCTCCGATGTTATCTTCCACTAACCTACAGGAACTGTTCATTATTCACTACTTCTGCATGGTATAACAATCCTACTTCTTTTTACCTTTGCTGATGTAACATTTTTCTGTTGGAAAAGTAACTTCACACATCCTCTTAACTACTGAAGATGTATTTAAGCTTGAGGCTTGGCTGAAATTGTGATTGCCCTGTGAACCTAGAATCATAGAATTTTTAGACCTACTTTCACCTCTCCAGCTGAAAATTCTTTCCCATCTCTAATAGCATATGGTTCTTTTGGGCTGTAGCATTCTATACTGCCTTGCTTTCACGTAATACTTTTTGAGCACTTACATGTGCTAGTTGCTGTTTTAAGAACTAAGGACACAGCTTTGAGTAATAAAAATCATAATATTCTTTGTTAGTTATCTTTTTAGGTTTTATCACACCAAGAAGATTCTAAATTCTTTGACCCCAAAGGAATCTTACTATCTCAGATATATTCTACATGATTAGTGAGAATTGATTGTTTTTTGGATTAAGGAAAGGTGGAACTTATAATACGAGATAGATGAATGGAAAGGTCTTTCTTTACAAGTGAAGGTACAAAGAATAACCAATTATAGATGACCTTGGAAGCATTACTTCTAAATCTAAATATGGTTTAGTATCCCCCCCACCCACAAAAAAAAGAGGAATGGCATTTGAGCCTGGGAATTATATGATAAAATCCTTATTTGAGGTAGTTTCACTTGACAGCAGTGTGCAGAACTAATAATTAACTGGAAGTAGAGAGGAATGGGAAGGAGAGAGTATTGAAGAAAAAATTAGTAACTTTGATAAGGAGGTTTGGAAGTGGAACATCATCGAAAAGATGGTGAATTTAGTTAGGTTGAGTATATAGTGAGTGGGTGAGGTTTCAAGGTAGATATGACCTTTAGTGACTAGAGATGAGCTGTGTGGGATAATCCATTCAAGTGCCAGCTAATGTTACGAATTTTTGTTATGGAGTTAATAATTGAAGTGTTGAGGACTAAGAATGATGCTTTGGGAAACTAGAATTCAAAGAACATTTCCTTTGGTCATATGTGACTTTGTAATTAATTCTACAGACTTGTATAATGCCTGTGGTATTGTTTTATTAATAATTTTATTTCCACTGTTTGAGAATTCTTACTCTGTCTTACCATCCAATATAAAGCAATCAAAAGTATTTATCATCATTTGCTTCCAAGGGATTTTGATTCATGTATTCCTCATTTCCCTTAATTGTTTTTATTTAAATAAATTATTATTTTAGAATACTTTTACATTTACAGAAAAGTTGCAAGATAGTCACAGAGTATATACTTCATCCAGTTTAACCTGTTGGTAACTTCTTACATTACTGTAATTCCTCTGTCACAACTAGGAAACAAAATTGCTACATTACTATTAATTAAGATACATACTTTATTCAGATTTCACTAATTTTTCCATACTGTCCCTTTAATGCTCCAGAATTTCAGTTTCTCAGACTCTTTTTGTTTTTGATGCTAAGATAGTCTTAAGGAGTACTCGTCAGAAATTTTATAGTGTTACTCAACTGAGATTTATCTCCTTGTTTCCTTGTTATACTGAAGTAATGGCTTTTAGGAAGACAACAGAGGTAAAATGCCATTCTCATCACATTGTACGAAGCGTAGTACTAACAATATGATAAAATTGATGTTAACCTTGATCACTGAGGTCTTTGTCAGGTTTTACTCCCTCCCACTTCCATATTCTTTGAAAGCAATCATTAAGTACTGCCCATGCTCAGGGACTTAATTTTGATTCATGTATTTTTTTTATTTCCTTCAACTAATTTTCTTTTCCATAAATAAACATTTAAATGTGATCAGTTACTTATTGAGCATCTACTGTATTTAAGTGCTGAGGATATAGTAGTAAGAGATGTCATTGTACTCTTTTGGAGTTTGCCTGATGTAAACATAAAATAGAATTTATCCCCTCATCTACATGGGTCTTACTTTCATTGACAGTTATAAACATAGTATTACTGTAAGGGGTAAAAGGCTAAATAAAAAAACTCTTTTAGTAGTCATTTAGAGGATATGCTGTTATCATAAAGATTAAATATATGTACCATAAAAAGAACTGCCTTTTTGCTACCAACATAGATAATAAAAAATTACTTTGATTCTCCCCAGTAGATGTATTACTGTTAA